GCAAAATAATCTTTATTTTTGCATAAATCTATTTATTTTATTTTTTTTAATTATAAAAATTTAAAATTTTTTAAATTATAAAAGTAAAATAAAAAGTTAGTTAAATTAATATTTAAATAAATCTTTTTTAAAAAGTATAATTTATATTTTTCTTATTTTTTTAAATTGAAATTTTCAAATAATAAATATATAAAACAAATAATAAGTAAAAAATTTAATAATATTTATTTTAAAATGTTGGACAATTTAACATTAATCGTAAAAAGAAAATTAAGTATGAAAAAGATAATAAATTTCAATTTAATTCAATTGTATTGTAGGAACAATAAAAACAAGAATTTCATTGAAATTAAAAAATAAAATCTGAAATATTTTTTATACATGACAGTTATATTATATTCTTATAAGAAATATCAAAATTTTAAGAAATACTATCTATTTGTGAATTATATGTATTATATAAATATAAACTAACTAATTTTTTATCTATAATATATATAAATATAATTAATATAATTGCTCAAAAAATATTGCAAACTTAAAAAATCAATGAGTTACTGAATTATACAAGTTTTAAATATTTGAAGGATCTAATAAAAATATTAAAAATACAATACTTTAATTAGAATTATAAAAAATATATCATATTATAATATAAATATATTATATTATTGATGTACTTAATTTATGATATAATATATTAATACAATTTATGATTATAATATATTAATTTATGTTATAAAAAAATATTATATTTATATTATATAAATTAGTTTATGATTGATAATATTATTGCATCATTTGGCATTGTCAATGTGTTTTTAAGTTTGCTATATTTTTTTATTTACATTTTATTTATATAGAATAATTACGAAATTGGGATAAATTGATTTTCATCAAAAAAAAAGCAATGAAATATTTTTAACATTTTTAAGATAATAAAAACAACATAAAATATAATGAAACATTTAAATATCTATTTAAAATATAATTATAATAAAATAAATATATAAATATTTGAATATGTTACAATAAAAAGTTGTATATTACAAATATAAATACATTGTGAACGTCTTTTTTGTATTCAGATATATTATTATAGTTAAATTTTCACTTAAATGCAAAAACAATAATAACAAAAAAGTAGTTTATAAAAAAAATTAAAAAAAATAAATATATTGAAAATTATGTTCTATTGTATGATATTAAATATTATTTTAATTTTTTTTATTTATCGATTTAATAATTGAGAAAACATATCAACTTAATAATGTAAAGATAAATTTTGGTTCTAATGATTAAAGTGTAAACTTTCTATAATTTTTTTTCTTGTCATTACTTTCTTTTTTTTTTTTTAATATAATTAAATATAATTTTTTATAATTATATTTAAATTTATATAATTAAATATATATATTTTTTTTAATATAATTAAATATAATTAAATTAGAATTATCCCAATTATGTAATTTATCTTACATATTTATATAAATACATAAT